AGCTCACCTAGAATGTCAATTTGTGTGGAAAGAAAGAGTTGGGCTTCAACACAGATATGCATGAATGCCAACAGTCACTCTTGTGCATGTGTTTTCTACATGGAACTCAAATATGCATGGGTTCAATTGCTGGCACAAAATGACTCGGTCTTTTGTGCAGTCCTCTTCACTGCATTTGGTGTACTGCACAATTACGCACATAAAACAGTGAAGCACAGTTGTTGGACAGCACAAAAGTGCAACCTGATATTCCTGTGTAGGATAGTTGGTGCAGTGCACAATATGACACAGCTGTGCATCTTTGTGCGGCTGATTAATTGACCCAAAGAGTGACTTCAGCATAGGAGGGTTAATGTGCTTTTAAAGTTGTGAAATAAAATTACACCTTGCTTTTTTCTGTCAAAACGCTCCAAGTGTCAGTATTTGCCTTCTTTTTTTACCTTGGTGAAACCACAGGGGCATAACTCAGTATAGGGACCTTTGAAATCCTGCGTAACCTTGTTGGGTTCAGCATGGTTAGGGTTAACCCTAACCCCTACGGACCAATGAAATCCTGCATAACCTTGTTGGGTTTAGCATGGTTAGGGTTAACCCTAACCCCTAAGGACAATTGAAATCCTGTATAATCTTGTTGGGTTCAGCATGGTTAGGGTTAACCCTAACCCCTACGGACCAATGAAATCCTGCATAACCTTGTTGGGTTCAGCATGGTTAGGGTTAACCCTAACCCCTAAGGACAATTGAAATCCTGCATAACCTTGTTGGGTTCAGCATGGTTAGGGTTAATAAGATGATCAGCGGTCACGAGATGACCAGCAGATGTGTAAAAATTTCAGAGATCAAGATTTAATACATCTTATAATCTGTAACTCTGAGTAGACAGCTCACTTTATTCGTAGCTCAAGAGTGTTCTCAGGAAACTCTTGATATTTTGTGTGGAATTGGCTGATTCACAGTCGTACCGATACTTATTTTGGTTACTTCAGGTGACTGTCAAGAAGGAGAGGAAGAGACCTGCTGCCATGGTAGAAAAGGACATTGGTGGAGAAAAGAACGGTGGAAAGCGCCTGGTCCGAGTCCGTAGACTGGTAGGCGAATAGTTTACAGCAGCATGAAATTTGAAGGGCTAACTCACTCGAGACTGGTGCTGACACTTCTGTTTCACTGAAGCTCTGGCAGTAGTAAAGAACTTGAAGTGAACTCAAATTCATATTCCCTGTCTACTAAAAACTGTAATGAAAATCGGTCATGATTGAGATGCCTCAAACCTTCAGATCTCAATATGGGTTATTTAAGCCTTAAAAACCACATTTTCTCTGTTTGAAAGCCATGCCTTTTTGTATTTTTAACTCCTGTGATGTGGTCCAGCACGACAGTAATGCAACAATGTAAATATGTTGAATCATTGCAAAGCATCTTGAAATTCCTACATTTCCATTGTCTATTTCTTTAACTATCCAGGCATTGAACTTTCCTGTCTCATTCAAAATCCATGTTGGATTTCAATGACTCATTCTGGGACTTCAACCATCAGGGGACATTAAGCCTTGAAACAGTTTAAGTGGTTGGGCTTGACCTTCGGCAACCCTGCAAAATCATTCAAAACTTAGTGGATTTTGAAGGATGCAGGAGGGTTAGGGTCAGTATCACAGATTAGCAAGTAGAGCATTTTCCCAACATATCCTAGTGCTGCACTTCAAATCTGTATTGCTTTCATAAATTGTTCAGCCCTGCTAGTACCCACCTTTGTGGTCATACCACAGATCATAGGAGAGATCAGACAGCTGTCAAAAAAGTCTCCAGATCTTTTATGTTTGCCAGTTTCACCATTTTCTTGAACTGTTCAGCCTCGCTACTACCCAACCGAGGATCTCCCCAGGAGGCTGAACAGCCGCAAGAAGCCCTTCAGCCAGCACAAGCGTAAGCTGAGGGCCAGCTTGACCCCAGGCACTGTGGTCATTCTCCTGCGTGGGCCTTACAAGGGCAAGAGGGTCATCTTCTTGAAGCAACTGTCGTCTGGTCTTCTCCTCATCAACGGTGAGCTATTGATGGCCAGCAAAGTAGGCTATCCAACCACTGTCGGCAAGACTGGAATGGTTGATATGACCGGTCCAGCCATTGTCAGCTGGTATATGATTAGAGTCAGTCAAACTCTGGATAGCTGTAAATTTGGAATAGCTGTAAATTTGGATCAAACTCAAGGCAGTGTGAAACGGTATTGGTTCAAGTGCCTCCATTGCTGCCAGAGTTCTGTGATTGCAGTAAGTCTGCTAGGCATGAGGATGTCATAAGTGAGACAAGATGGGGTAATAACCACCTTCTTGCTCTTGATTGATAAGCAATGTTGGGGTCAGTTACACTGACTCTCCATTCGGTATCTCTGGTGTATATTGTGATATGTAAACTATTGTTAACCAGTGACGTATGCTAACAGACTGCTGCCAACAGGATTGGCCCGATTGATCGAAACCAGCTCAACCACTATCAGCTGGTATGTTAACCCTAACACTCCTCAGTCCTCCAACAGGTAAAGGATTGAGGAGGGTTAGGGTTAACAGTCAGAGTTAGTGTGAAACTGTGGCTAAACTGTAAATTTTGATCAAACTTTAGGCAGCGTGACACGGTAATGGGGCAGTTGCCTCCGTTGCTGTTCAAGTTCTATGGCTGCAGCAAGTCTGCCAGGCCTTAGGACATTGCAAGAGAGACGCAACTGCCAAAACTAACAACGCACACTTTGTGATTGCCATCTTGCCAGGTCCGATGAAGATCAATGGTGTCCCCATGCGTCGCATCAACCAAATCTACGTGATTGCCACCAAGACCAAAGTGGACATCAGCGGGGTCAAGATCCCCAAGAGGGTCAACGACGAGTACTTCCGCCGCAAGAAGTTGAAGAAGCCCAGGAACCAAGAGGGCGAGATCTTCGACACCGAAAAGGAGGTCAGACATCGATCCCAGTGGTTTTTTTTTTTTTTTGGTCCGTAAACTCTTAGCTCAAACCTGTCCTTGGTTTCACTTCATTTTCATTGAAAGACGCTGAGCAAGATTGTAGATGGCAGCAATAGTTGTGTAGACACCTTGGCATTGTGCATAATCAATCAGTGGACAGTTACATGGCACGTTAGTACATGTATGTATCATTGTGCACACAGGATTTGTCTGTCACTGACTATGGAGTGTGCCATACAGTTCCATCAGTAATTTGAGGTGTCTATTCCGTCCCTTTAAATAGGAGTAGAAAACAAGACCCTTGTCTTTTGTTAAAGTAAAACATTTTCAAAAAGTTTACTCTCTTGGTGTCTTTTGGGGCCAGACAGTCAGATATTGCAATAACCTCTTGCACGTAGGGCCTTGGAGGACGCTATGCCTTACCAGTAAGGACTCTGAATGGAGTGAATTGAAGCAAATCATTGGGCAGTCATGACAAATGAAGGATATCACAGAGCATGGGTTAAACCTTGCATTTGACTACAGGACGCTGCCAGCATTTAAATACTTGAATTTGGCTGACCAAACTGAGTTGACAGATTGTCTTGTCTTTTACCCCGGGCCACCTTGCAGAAGTATGTCGTTTCTGAGGAGCGCAAGGAGGACCAGAAGAAGGTAGACACCCAGCTCGTTCCCCTCATCAAGGGAGTACCCAGCTTGAAGGGCTACCTGGAGATGCCCTTCTACCTCAACAACAAGCAGTATCCCCACAAGATGATCTTCTAGAGACAAGCGCTTCTCAAACTCTGGCAAATTCTTGATTTCACATCCGAGGACATTCTCCTAATTCAAGCAAGGATGTTTTCCACACTGCATGGGGAATGTTCTCTCATTACATGTGAGGACATTGAAGAATACTGGCATCGCACTGTTCATCCATTGTTTGTGCATCGTTAAATGGTCATGTTCACTTTCGCTATGTACTCACTGACTTGGATGAGATAAAACTTGACTTGTCCGTCACCTGTGATGAACCGTAAGAGGTTTAAATAAAGTCTATTGGTTAACCAACAAGATAGATTCGGTGTATTGTCTGCTTTATTTTAGTGTGGTTTGAAGTGAGTCTTGTGTGTCAGTGATGATGCTGTAACACCTTAAAAAAGGATGGTTGATAAGAAGTCTTTTTGTCAATGTGTCTTAAATCACAGCCCCTCTTGAGATCTTGTAGTCCTTGGGTGTCATCTTTGGAGCAATTTGACAATTATCTCTCAGTTTTTTGAGTTCCCTGTCATAAATAGAGAAATCACACCTTGATTTGAAACGGCCTTAAAAGTTACTGTCCTCTGAACAAAAGGGTGATTCTATAAATTTGAAGCCTGACTTAACTTTTTCCATCACTATTACACCTGACCTGTATAATTACACAAAAGATGTCATTCATTGATTTCAAACTTCATGTACACGTATTTTATTTGTTTGGCTAGTGATTTGTATTAATCACGATTGGAAATTAATGTGTAAAATTGCAAAATCATGTGCCAGGTTTAACAAGGATTGGAAAAAATGACACCCCAAATGTATAGAATGATTCCTGTGGGTCATTTTTTAGCATTAGGTAGACGATAGTCCTTTCAACGATGTCGTGCATCTAGTCTGAATTGAACTGAAGATTGAAAGAAGGGTACACTTTGTGGTTAAAGTGTTGCACTTTCTTACCAAAACAAGCTGAGGTTTTCGAAGGGCAGTAGGGCAAACTGAAATATAGTCGGGTGACAAAGAAAGAATGAATGGGCCCCATCAGGACTGTGGCATTTCAGAATTCACATATTTTGGAAATTATTACATCTAGGTCGAATAACAACGGTAAATGTAGCCCAGTAATCGACTTTCACGGCACAAAATTGACCTATCATGGTAGAATCGCGTCAGTGCAACTTGGGAAATATTTTCCAATTACATAAATTACAATGTGGACGTGGAATGGGCAAAATCTGAGACAAAGTTCCGTACAAAATTCCATTGGGTTTTAAGAGGCGTAGCTAACTTGCAGACAGTGACAGGTCAAAATCCACCAACCTACCTGTCACTCTTGTGCAGCGGCGTATCTAGCTTTGGGGGGCAAATTCAATAACGAATTCGGCTTCAGGCTCATTCAACATGATATTGGGAGAGGAAAAAGCATCAAAGCCTCACCTCCAGTCTCAAAATCCTAGCTTTTATTTCATGGTGTTGTTTTCTCAGGGGTTTGATGCTAATATTAGATCAATAAATATTAAATGAAAATTTTATAAACAAATATTGAAAGGAAAATAAAAGTAAAAAAAAAAATCCGTCAGGCCCCCCCCGCTTGATACGCCGATGCATTGTGTGTCATCCCATTTTCTATCGCATCTACCTGTATCATGAGTAGAGATGTGCGTATCGTCGTGTTTCCGTGCGCCTTGGCTGTTTTCTTACATGCGCGCTCCGGAACGCACACGCGCCCATTTCGTTAATCCCTAAATCCAAGTGCAATTCGTGCAAGGCTTAAAATGTGCAGTTACATGCAAAGAAATGCGATGAAATGCCTGAAAATAAATTGACTGTCTTTACTTTTTAACGTGTCTCTAAATAACAAACCAATACACAAACATTTTCACACAAAATTAAGGCTTTATAAAAGCTTGATTTCTTGGGGCGCGATGCGGAAGTACTGCCTGCCCTTTCGTGCAAGTCTATATCTGCACTGCAGATGTTCTATTTCCATGGAACTGGTCGAACTTACTGGCTCTATGACAACTGACGCAGTAGCGCAGTACATGTTTTGGCGCGTGTTCAATGTTTTCTTACTCTGTTCCTGCGAGATAAATTCAGCAATCGAACAGAATTTCCCCTCCTCTGTTTCACATACAATCGTATATACCGAATTTGCTTCATACTTTTGCACTAACGCTGGTGCAGTCGAATCATAAAATTCCAGAGTGAATTTTTCCTTGTATTTGAAGAATGACCGAGAAAACACCGGGAAAACCCCCCGAAGCTGCGGAGATACCCATATTAGACGAGGGCTTTCGTCTCTTCGGCCCGCCTGTCGTCAATGAAGCCATCAGAAGACACCAGAAAGAATTAGAGGCAGAGCCAAGAAAATGGAAATCGTTGAGGTATCGAAACATTGGAATTTATAGCTTGTAACTCCACAAACAGACATGGCAGCAGCTTTTCTGATGCGGAAAAAATTGTTCAGATTAGAAACAGGCCTAGAGGAAATGTTTTGTAGGCCTATGGCACGTTGGAAATACAGAAACGAATGTGTTTAAAATGTATCGTGAAACTAAATACCATGAATTTATGAATATGACAGCAGTAGATCAGGTGGACCACTTGATAAACCACTCAGTTTTCGTATAATTTATTCCATTGTGCAAAAAGAGTAGCCTAAGTTTTAACATCGTTCCACTTTTTGAGCGCTTCAAGCCTTTGCTCGAAACCTCCAAAACCAATGGCATGTATGTACATGTACATGTACTGTGTGCAATTGATACCGACAGCGAGGCCTTGTAAAACATATCCTGAAAACATCATAGAGGTGCCATCGTCACAAAATACTGGGTCAATTTGTGTATCATTTGTCATCATAATTACGTGCATTAGTACCTTCTCGCACCCCAGTTTCCCTTTCTCACTCCTTTTTTGACTCGACAAAACTGAAGGCTCAACACACAGCCAATTCGTTCCCGTGACCCACTTTTTTTCTTTTCGCACCCCTCTTTCCCTCCGCTGGCACCCCTCCTTTTCGTTCTCGCACTCCGCTTTTGACTCGATAAAACTGAATTCCCTGCACACTGGAAATTCGCCCCAGTACCTCACATTTACCTTCTCGCTCCCCTCTTAGTTTTCGTTCTTGCACTCCTCTTTTGACTCGACAAAACTGAAGGCTCAACACACTGCAAATTCGCGCCCGCACCCCCCTTTTCCCTTCTCGCAACCGGCCACTTTTCCCTTCACTCGGGGGAGGTGGGGGGGGCACAGTCCACTGAGCACCATAGGAAAGCACAAATGTACATGGAAACAGAGTGTAAACGTTATCATAAAGACAAGTAGGTACATAGTTCCATTCTCTGTCAAGGAAATAGCAAAGTGGGTCTTCTCGACGGGCGGATCCAGCCCTATTAAAAAAACAGGAATACGATGGACAGGCCGGGACAAAACGGGGCCAAGGAACCTCACAAAAAATCAGCTCGTACATATGAAAACACCTGGGACATTTCGATAAAGCGGTTCACATTGACTTCATTATTTCAGCACTGTCTTCGGGACAACTTTTACTGTGATTGTACAGTTGTACAGTACATCATGGAGTGAGTACATGGACATGTGTATAATTAGCCTGGTACGTGCCTAGTGGAAACCAGTAGATGATCAACTGATAATATTCAGATATCTCAACAGAATGAAAAACAAAAGACTAATGAAAGCCATCTAAAGATGTTCCTGAAGATGTTTTGAATAAAGGACAAAGCATTAAATCAACATGATTGTTATCAGTCTTTCTGGATTCTCATATTGATTTGCCCAGTGGAATCAACAGAATATACCTAGTTTGCAATGGTTCAATTCCGTCATACAATACACTGTCTAGTTCAAAAATTGAAAGCCCACGCAGGCATATATTCTCGGGGAGCTGAGTTTACAATATCGTTGCCTTAAAGCCAATTTAATAAGTGTGCAATACTCTATTTCGTTTTGCTACGACTTCCACCAGGCAGTTTGCAAATTTTCCCCACTGCACTGTTCTCCGCTCTCCCTTACTAATACTGACTTATATGTTTCAATATTCGGGTGCATGACAAACCCAGCCACGGCCTTGAAGGTCAGTGCAGTGGTAAATCACGAAACCACACGCTGTCACAGCGCTCGTAAAACCCTGTGGTCGTCCCGCTGTTTATGTGCTTGCAATTCTGGATCTTGAAGGCCACTGTAGGCGTGGGGCAAGGTGAGCATGTGCGCTCTTATTGGCTACGTTCTGGCAGTACACAAGCCATGGGCGCTGTTTCCTTATTGGTCCATTCTGGTTTGTCCAGGGACCATCGATGGTCCGTGTCTCAATTTAATGTCGTTTCTATCGAGGGTGTCCGAGCATGGAGGAAGGAACATCCTCCATGGTCCGAGTAATGTTACGTTCTCCTGTTTGACATTTTTGCGGCAAAGGAAATTAGTAATCCTCACATCATCATCTTGCGGACTTGTAACCAAGGTACAATAACTTGAATATGCAGTTGGTTGCGCTTTATTATAAGAATGTGTAGCTGAAAATCTAGAATTGCCTATAATGAAAAGTAACGAGACTGCTAACTATGCTCATAGTGCATGCAACATACATTGCAAGGCTTAATTTCATACCTTAAGCAGATCATTAACTACACGAACATAGCCTAACGAGTAGGCCTAAGTAACATGGCTGAGTGAATCTGCGAAAGACATCAACACATAGCAATGATAATAGTCAAACGGCACTTAATTTATTTTATACTTGTGTTCAAAATACGCCTCCGTACTTTGACCCAAATAATTTGTTGAGTAACTATTGCTGCATAGCGCGTGCAAACGCACCAATAGGACTAAAATGGCGGACGTCGACGTTAACGGGGAAGGATAAAATTAATCCGCAAAACATCTAAAGTTTAATTTAAGCTTCAGATTCGGAGTGTTAATAAGTTAGTTGAATGTTTTGAATCGAGAATGGTCAAAAGAACCCTATTATCATGTCAGCATTAGAATTTTAGCCCAAGAAGGTTTGCACTAGTTATCTTGAGCGTATGAATATTGTTTCACGTAGAGGGGGTTGCAGGTCATCGTGAACTGTGTACATTTTTAATGTACTGAACTAAGGATATTCAAAACTACGACGTGACTATACATTGCCTGATTGCTGTTGATGGAGACCTTTACCCTTCATAAAAACACGACCAACTAGCATTGTAAGCGTCAGTCTTGAATTTCAGATGCTTGCATTTTCTCTGTACTTATTTGGTGACCGAAAGGAGTTGCTTGATGGAACCGATGGGACTGGCAAAGTTGGTGGGGGTGTGCCCGAAAGTGGGAACTTGCAACGTGAACAACCCCTACCTGTTCAAGCGTAGGCAGCTGCCGCTGACGGCTGACACCTCGCTCACGGTGAGTATTGTCACCAGTAAGTAATGTCTATGTATGTTTGGACTGTTTCACATAGGCATGTGTACGTCATCAACCCTTCAAAACGTTGATCCACGGTTGGGCTTCAGTGTTTTCGAGCGCTCTCTTTTTCTGGCATGTCTGGACACGCAGACATCCAAGCGGTACAGTGCGTGCACACATGCTCCGATTATACGCTTGTTTCATGTAGAATCATATCTGCATGCTCACAACAGAAAATGAAACCAGTCTGTGTTCGTATTTCACATTGTGACGACAATGCTGGTCCCTTTGTTTTTTTTTCTAAACTACGTGTAGGCCTACGCCTAGGCCTAGAAGAAACTCACAATTTTTTAATTGACCCTTGCCACGATCACCTTGTTTATTTCTCCTGTTCAATAAAGTGATGTCCACTTCTAAACCATACTTGCATACTGTCTGCTTACCTTCGTTGTTGGATGAATAAAAGCTAGTTTTTTTGGGGGGGGGATCTCTCAAAGTCATGATACCAAACTGGCTTTCACTTGAAATTGCCTTTAGTTTTCCAGTTTCAAAAAGAGCAAACCAAAGAATCAGTGCACACCTACACTGCTACTTTCTACTGAAAAACAAAAAAGGTCTTGCAACTTTTTGAAAAACTTTGTTCTGGTATTTTCCCTTTTGTCAAGTTCTCTGTTAGCTAGGCTACATCTTACTAGTGCGTTGGTATTTTTTAGTACTTGGGTATGTGCATTTGGTTAAACCTGTTTTCTCTGTAAAAAAAATCAAACTATTTAGGCTTTCTTTTATTTGGAAAATATCAAGACACTACCAGAGACCATAAAGAAGCTTCTTCTAAGGCTCTTAAGTGGGCCGTTGACACCTGCTGTTACAGACTTTGTGCTGCATGCTTGTTTTGCATGCTTCGCACATGAATTCTTGGCTCTTCAAGTTACACTCCCGGTTTTTCATTTCGCTTTCCCACTTTCCTCAATCCTAACTAAAACCCTGATGCTTACTACGTACCCAATAGACTGTGCAGGTTGCCATTCGCAGGGGACTCACTTTTCACCTCATTTTAAGTTTATTGCCACTACAAAACCATAAACTGTGTACATGAATTTTCACTTAGGACAAATTTAGACTTGCATTTGATCCTGACTGAGAAAGCACCTGTCTGGTCAGTCAAATCATAGGCAGACACAGTCATGACCCTGACTCCTTTCTGTCTAAATTTGAGGGAGCTCTGCGAAAAACATCTTTTTTAATGTACTGGACTGGTATAAGAAATCATGCCTCAGTGGCTGTGTAATTAACACCCAAAAAAAAGACCTGACCCTTTTGAATTAGTTTGTTTGACAACACTCACTGTTGTGCACTTCATCAACTGTCAATTGTGCTATGACATAAAATAGCCGTACTACACTGTGTTAACCCCTTCTCATCAGGAAGCGGTAAGAGACGCTGTAAAAATTGAGATCCTTCAGCCCGCTTTTCAGCTATTATTCTTGGCCCACGCTCGAGCGAACATGGTGAAAGAAGGCAGACCCTGTCTCTTGTATATATGGTAATTGGTCTTTGTGTGTAGCCCAGAAATATAAA